AATTTCTTTAAAAATTAAAAAGAAATACTACTACTACTACTACTAATAATAATAATAATAATAATCGTTATTTGTTCATTAGGGTGATTAGAAAAATCCCTACCATTGCCTTCTAAATACAGTTCATCTGCAATTCATTAGTGGAGGATCTAATTTGTTATATGCTAATGAAGAATAAATGAATGGTAACTGCTAGGGATTATTTATGAACTATTATTACGTAGATTCCTATTTGATAACTTAAGTAACTAGATTATATGTATATTCATATTCCTTTTATCATAAGCTTTTATTTGACCTATCGACCATTGTTATATGATATAGTATTAACTTATTTGCAAATAATTAGTTACAGTCTCTCACAATCATAACCACTTTGGACTTGATCTTTCATAACTGTTATTCTTTATTTTATGGTGTGATGCTGTCAGGTTTGCTTGTGTATAAACTACGTGTCTGAAACTTACTATACACACAATAGAGGTTGAAGTTGCGTTCTAGACCAAACGGGCAAGGCTAGGTGAGAATGACCAGTAAAGACTCAGAGTTGACTCAAGGTTGCTTGTGCTTGCTAACGAATCATTAGTTTAGCACATGGATAAGGTCAAGGAAGTTGACATTCTGATTAGCGGTTTTGTCATCTGATAATTCACAGTGGCAAAAGTCATAACATGATTAAAATTACAATATTGTGACGACCTTTAAAAGAAGTTTTTCATTAGTTATTCTAATAGTTTTTATCTTTAATACTTTCTAGTTCACTTATAATTTTGTTATTAAATCAATGACTATCATAAGACTGATTCATATCAATCAAACTTTCAACTGATTGACTTAGTAGTAGTTGAAATCATTAAGAGTGAATAACACAACATAACGATAACTTTTTAATCATCATAATAAACTTAATTTACAATTCAGTTCCACTAATCAATAAATGTTTACTTATAATCGATAATTGTGTTACTTTACCATGATAAAAATGAATTGGTTACATGTTCTTCTATACAAAATAAAGTCGAGTGAAGAACGTCTACGGTGATTATATATATATATATAATCAAAAGGCAACTTGCTTGCGCTAATGATACTACTACTTTCGCCGGGTTAACCTAACCAAAGTATATCGATCAGGACTCATTTTCCCAGTGACCTAGTAGTTAGTTGTTGAAAGCTAAACGCTACCGCTTCGTGATATAGAGTGTTTTTTATTGTTGATTTAGAATAAGGTCTTCTTGCTCATCGTATATCAAGCAAAATTAATATATAGGTAGATATTCATGTAGGTATGTATTCAGTTGGGTGCATTGGTGAGTTGTGATTGTTGTTATCTTGGTTTTGTCTCTAGGTCATACCGCACACCACACATACACACAAATATTGTGAACTGAATTCGACAGACCAAATCAAATGACTAGTTCACATTAATAAAGAGTCCAAAAGCGTGCGTACTTGCGTGTTTGTGTATGTGCAGCGTTGATATTTCTATTTGTTTGCCTGTTCGGTTTTTGATCGATCGTGTTTGTTTTAACACTTCTTATAATAATAATAATAATAATAATAATAATAATAATAATAATAATAATAATAATAATAATAATAATAATACAATGGCCCAGTCTTTTCTATTTATAAACGTGTGTGCAAAAAGCAGTTGGAAACAGTCGTTATCTTTCTTTCGTCATAGATTTGTTTCTACTCAGTCAGTCAGTCAGCTACAACGTAGGACCAGGCACATATGTGCATCGGTCCAGGTTGCCATACCTCATTAGCACAACAAGATGAACACCGGATTCATAGGAGTGGTTAGGTCAAAGGTTGCAATAAGGATATAGTATAGGAAGGAAGAATTAGTTCGTAGAAAGAAAGATATGAAGTGATTTAATCTCTTAGTTTAAGGGAAGACAGGGAGTGTATACACCGACGCCATTGTGATCGATTCTGAGCCATGTCACCAAGAGTCTCCAACCATTGGTTACGATAGTCACGCGGACCCCAACCAAGTAGTCTGCATCTACCAACATGGCTCAGACTAGAAGTTAGTGACTTCAAGCACTGATGCTACGTTTTGGTTTGGCCGCCCCTAACTTTCTACTATACAATTGTATTGTAGTAAACGACAACACACTTGTTGATTGAAATAATAATAATAATAGTTATTATTATTGTCATCACTGGTATAATAAATAGATGGATAGATCTATGATGAAAGGAAGATAGCGTTTGTTTCCAATTTCTTTTTGCTCACACTCCTTTATGAATAGAAAAGAGTGGGCCATTGTGTTTGCTTTTCGTTGTTGTCTGTCTGCATATCCGTCCACTGTCATTCAACTGGAAAAATCGATTTCTTAATTTCTCTTCCACATCACATTCATTCAATCATTCATGCATTTATTATTCAGTTTTCATTTAGTATATTGAATTGGTAACAAAAAAACTTTCACCACACTATGTTGTGTAATGCGCACGTACATGTGTGGGCGTGTGTGTGTGTGTGTGTGTTTATGCACTTGTGGGCGATATGTGCATGTTTCTTTGTTGGTACGACTGTATAAAGGTATTTATGACCAGTTTTTTATGGAAAAAAAGAATCACATAAAATGTGTCTCCTAAGTCCATTACTGAGTGTGTAACAATTTGAACTTTACTGATACCGTTATCACTATTATTATGATTACTGCTAAAAAACTGGTTTGAGTCCACTCTATTAGCGTAACCAATGTCTAAAGATGGGTCATCGTAGCGCAGGTTCACTTACTCTTCACTTATATATTGAGTATCAAGATTATCTTACAGTTTTTTCATTCCATGAATTTCTTATTCTCTTCTTAGATCATATCGCACATGCCTAACATTTTCTCCTATCACTTTTACCGTTACTACTTCGACTAACACAGTATGTCGCATGTTATTAATGTGATATGACAACTTGGTTTAACATTGAAGCCCTGTATGAATGTGTGTATTAGCTCAAGTCCCTATATAATATTATCACAATGAGATAATGAAATTAACAGAGAATAAATTGCTAAAACATATCGTAATAATGATAATGAGAAAGACTGAACATTCGGAATAGAGTTGATAAATACAGAATAAATAGGAATACATAAAAGTATATTGAAATTCAAGATCAAGAGAAATAAATAAAGAGTGAATGCATCTGAATCGTTGTGATTATCTCTAAACTAATATATTTGACTGTAATTGTTCAACCTTCTTGAGGTAAAAAAATTATTTCAAATATTTCAATTAGATCCTCTGCCAATTAAAAGGTATCAGATGGGTTTTTGTGGAGATTGTAGTAATTTCAATGGTTAAGATCATGAGTCAGTTGAAGCTAGACCACCATGGAAAACCTGGAAGCACTGGACGGCCGTTTCGTCCTATTGTGGGACTCCTCAGCAGTGCGCATCCACGGCTCAGTGGTCTAGTGGTTAAGTGCTCGGGCGCGAAACCAGTAGGTCCTGGGTTCGAATCTCGCAGGGGGCGAGGTCGTGGATGCGCACTGCTGAGGAGTCCCACAATAGGACGAAACGGCCGTCCAGTGCTTCCAGGTTTTCCATGGTGGTCTAGCTTCAACTGACTCATGATCTTAACCATTGAAATTAAAAGGTAATCTTCCAAATCGTCTCTTAAAACGTTTTCACGTTTTTAAGTTATAAATCCCCGAATGCACTATGTATTTCATTCCATTTATCATTATAATATAGTTAAGTGTTTCAAAAAAAATCATTCTATTCAGTTATGTCAAAATAAAGGTATTCAAGATAATAGTTTGTTTATAATTAACATTGAATATTCTCTTTTCATCGTTAATGTTGTTACTTAGTCAGAATTAAGGTATGTTGTTGATGGCCTTCGGGGAAATTGAGGTTAAGCAATCAGAGTAGAGTTTTTATAAATGAAATGGATATCACGAAAAGACGTTGAAATTATAAAGAATGTAAAGTTTTAGAATGCTAACATTGATACTCCTAAAGCAATCTTATTTCTCCACCTTGTGCCTTCGCCGCATATCGTTTTCTGAACACAACTGTTTGACATACTTTTTCTCAATAATTCAACATTCAGGTGATCTATAGTCATATCATCATCATCATGCAAGGGGGGTGGTCCATCCTCAGAAATCACTTCGTAAACTTTTTATTTTTGTGATTTAATTGTGTAAATTTGAATTTTCTCATTTTCGCGCCGAAAACCCTCATTATTAACTTCAGTTTGTACTTCCCACCTGTAAGGACCTTAATCACCATTGGTTCGTTTTCTTTTTAGCAAGCTATTTTGTGATGCATTTTTGTATTTTATATATTACGCATGAGTTGTGCGCTTGTTATCCGTTTATCTGGACTGCTTGTAAGAATATGAGCAAGGATGAATAGTGATTAGCAGTGAAATCCAGGACGCGCGTTTCATTCTATTTGAGACTCATCAGCCGGATGTACCTGCATCATACAGTTGGTGTTCACTCTGGTACTTGAACCCAGTACCGTTCGCTTCAAACACCATCGCGTTATCCACTTATTTACTGAGTCCTGATAGCTACTTGCTTGTGCAATAAATAACATATGCACATATGCCAATAAGAGACTGATCAATTGCAGTCCTAATCATCACTGGGAATATTCAAGTAAACAATACCAAGTGCTTGTAGGAATATTTTCCCTTCTGAATCTGGTCTTTTTCCTCTAGTTAAAAGAACTGGGGCACGAAGTCCAATTTACCCTGTTGTTGCGTTGCTGTTTTTCGTTCTGTTCGCCGGTCTAAGGTGACATCATAACCTCTAGAACATAGCACATCCAAGTTAGCCAAAACTCGAAATCTCTTCAAAAATAAGGTATTCACCACCAACCAGACTTATCTGAAGTTTTGTTTTAAGACCCAAGTATAAATTTAGCAATTGATATCTTCGTGCTGATTGGCTAGTTCCATTTTATTTCAAGACTACTGGTATACTTCAATTATTATGTTGCTTTTTTATTCTTGTTACATCATTCTAGTTGAACGTCGACGTCGAGATAGAATTAATACGTGGATAAGTGAATTGTATAAATTATTACCACCGGATGAGCAAACTAAATCACAATATCAGAGTAAAGGTATTGTATTAAAACGTGTCTGTGAATATTTTCAAAATGTGGATAGTATGCTGAAAGCAGCTAATTCAGCAGTTGAACAAGTATGTCTTTGTATAGTTTGTGTGTTGTTTTTTACTTGTTTTTGTCGTCTCATCTTTTGTTTCATGATGATAGTATCAACGTAGGTAGATGAAGTTGGTCACCAATTGTATCCCAGTTTAGTTGGCACCAAATTTCCCTAATACGGCTGAAGGGGGTCCACTACCCCTCTCGAAATGCTCCCGTTTGGCTATGGATATATAGCCGCTGACAAGGAAATGCTGCTCATTGTCTTCTCGTGGCGCGGTTGTTCACGAAATTGGGAGGACGAAAAGCCAATATCCCGCTCTGGCTTAAAGCGGATAGTACGGAAGAAATAGAAGGTTTTTTAATTGAAATAACAGTCGAGAACATTTTCGAAGATTATAGTCGATCATGGTAAATCTAAAAATTTCGGTCGACCTTTGAGCGATCCCAGAAGGACCCCACGAAAACTCGCCTACCCACTAGGGTTTAATGAGGGTTAAAACAGTATGAGAAAATAGAATCGGGATCTAAATTTAAAGTTTTCATCACTAACTGGCAGCAGCTGTTTTACCATATGAAAGGATGAATTCAAGACTCGCTATTTAATATGTGATTGGTTCATCCATAAACTTTAGTCTTGCCATCTTTCTTTTTATTAATGTCTCCCATCCGAAGCTAGTTACAGTATGCATTAACAAGCTAATTCCAATCATATTCATTAACCCTTTTTATGTATCTACACGAAATATAGTTGAATAAACTAATTTCATCTGACTTTCTTACAATTTTATTGAAATTGCTGACCGATCTAAGTTAAATAATCATTGGAAATATTGAAGCAGTAAACGTCCGTCTCAACCTAGCATGGTAATCCTCAGTAGGGAGTTTTCATAACCCCAGTAGTTTGGGGTTTGAACCCCAGGATCTTTGATCTTCTACATGAACCATAAGATCCGAAGGTGTACGAGTCAATGTGACTACCTTTCATTATCTTCAGTGAATACCTTTCCGACTTACTTGATATAGTTGAACTTCATTATTTTCATTTACCTTTTTTATTCTAATCATCATCAACTGTTATTTCGGTTAGCATTAAATTTCAGATTTTATTTCCTTAATTTACTTTTATTCATAATGTATATAGTACTTATTGTTGGTACAATGTAAAATTGTCAATTTGGCAAAATAAACATTGCCAATGGATAAACTATGTTATTATGCCTTATACCTTTGTGTATATCACAATCAATAAGTCAGTTTTCAGCTGATTCCAATTAATCCTGTGTCTAAACACATAAACTATTCCATAAAAAAATTATGTGTGTGTAATAGTCAGTCGATCAGTCACGATGTTGGATTCATTGGTCATTTTACTTACCACCACTAACTACTATTACTGTTACTACAAGTATTAGTGCTTGTTCACACGTGTTTTTACTTATTCTGTTTGTTCATTTATGCATGTGTGTGTATACATATGTTTTACGTCTGCCAGATATTTCAGTTATTGAACATGTTTAGTTATCGTCTCTCCTTTTGGTTATAGTTTTTTAATGTCATCATTACACAGATTACCAAAAATTAAATTAAACTGTGATTTTGCAAAATACAAACATCCATGTAAGAATAACTAGCTGTATACAAAAATATGTATGACATCAGAGTCGCTACGATGATAATCATACATGTTTGAGCCAATGAATTCAGTTTCCCGAAATATTGGTACTGAATCATTGTAGCAGAACATATGTTACACCAAACCTTGATATTACTAACGTGACTTTGCCACTGAATGTCAGCAGTTCTTCGGAGACAGCAATAGTCGAACATAGAGATTCTTTGAACCATCTTAGCTCGGAGAGACCAGGTTAGGCTGGGCTAATCCGCTTTCATTTCCACTGTGCGTAAACGGATCTCATTTCCAGTGCTATTTCCAGTACATGAACGTTTCAGCTATCAACAGTAGCTCACTGCAAAGAATGAGTGTTAGCATAGGCTTATGCAAACTTTCCTGAGGTCCTTTGCACTTCGAAAGTGCAAAGTATTTGGTATATATGACATTAATTTCTAATTCTGCAGGTGTGATTTTGGTAGCCATTAACCATAAAAAAAGTTCGCTCGACGTTCGTTTACTGAGAAACATAGAGCTTATGTCTATTATTGGCTTAGAATCAAAACTTTCCAGCTTCTCTTCACTTTCGGCCATATCAAAGTTTTAAGTGCTAAGTTAGCTTTACAACTTTTTCTCAACATGACTAGAATCAATTCAGTTCATTGAAGTACCACAGTCGTTTCCGACAATAGCTTCTCTAATTATAGATTTCGATTAATTTTAGGGTTTTCATTCTGAATCAGTTTCAGTTGTGGAACTTTTTGAAATTTTCATATCGTACAATGATGTTTCGGCTAAAATATAATTTATAAGTGAACCAATCAGATTTAAGGTAGCGAGTTTAGGATTTTGCCGCAAAATTCATCCTTTCATATGGTAAAATAGCTGCTGCCAGTTAGTGATGAAAACGCCTACTCTAATCCCTAACCCTAACTTTGAATTTAGATCCCGATTCTGTTTTCTCATACTGTTTTAACCCTTATTAAACCCTAGTGGGTAGGCGAGTTTTCGTGCGGTCCTTTTGCTGCCACTAAAAAGTCGTCCATAAGTTATGGTTTCTTCGTCCTTGAATTCATTTTTCCTTATAATAAATTGTTTTAACAACGAAAACAGACTACTGTGTCTGTGTAATAGATGTCTTGTCCATGAAAGTCATCCAAAATTAGATCTTATCTAATAAATCACCAACCTTTAAGGTAGCCTAGGCATTTGTCACATGATAATGGTGTTAATGTGTTGAATTTCTAAAAACCTTTTTTCTTGACTCATTTTTAAGCAAATGTGCCTGGTAAAACTGATTAGTTGCACAGATGGTAAAGATAACGTTATCGGAGAAGTGTCGATAAGGGGAATAAAAAAAACTATTAATTGATGAAGAGATTAGATTGTGAACTCGATCTTGAGTCCTGATTGAGATGTTGTCATTACTCCGTTGCCCATATTGAGGAAGGATTTTTATTATCGAAGTTCCAGATTAGGAAAGTTGTTTAGTGAATTGTCTTGACAATCTGAGATCGTGACCATAATGCCGAAAGAACAACTGCTTAGGATGTGTCACATAGACTTTTTGTGACTAGTTGTTGATGTGTTAGTTTTGTAATTTTAAGACTACCACCTGTATCTGGAATCCGTAGGGTTTAGGTGAGGTGTGTTATTCGTAGAGCTGGATATTCCTAGTACTTTTGTTTAATTGTGAACAAGAAGCATCACTGCTTATACTGGTTGTATGAGGGAAATACACATCTCTATACATTCAACAGTACCACTTCTCTGTGTTTTAGTCTTACCATTCTACAACCTACCTGCCTCAAATGGTTAGGCCTAGTTTATTTATTTGTTTTTCTAAATAAATAAATATTAGTGTAAAGGGGAGCAATATAAATATGTGTCACAATAGGAAGAAGGAAGGTGAGTATAATAAAAGTAACAGCAAATGAATAAAAACAAATGAACTGGAGTATTATATTATTGGAAGAAGCAGTTCAGTTGAGAAAAATATAATGAGAATAAAATGCTTCATTTAAGACAATTCCTCTCACTTATATGAAGTCAAAGAAAATTACAACAGGACCTCCACTGGCTTGTATATATCCCGAAACATGCTTAACAATATATTAAGCCACTGCGTTGGACTAGAGAACTCCAATGAGGCAGTCGTGAAGGTCCAGGGGATACCAATCTTTTAAGGTTTCATTTCATACCATGACAACACCATTTCATACACAAACCACTTGTCCACATCTTCTAGCCAGTCTCAGCGTCGGCAAATAATACACGATGTAGAGTTCGCTTGGACGACATTCGTAGTGCACGTCCAAACCATCGAGGTCGGTGTTTCAAGTTGGTAACACCATTTGAATTATAGTCTATGTGCTCAAAGAAATTGCCGAACCTCCGTATTACTGACATAGTTATGGCACTTGAATTCACCAATCCTTCTTGGACAACGATAATCAAATACAAGTTTCACAAGCATAGAACAAAACTGTTCTCACCGGCGCGTTCTAGATCCGACTTTTTAGGGACAGACTAACATCACAAAGATGGCCAAGGTTGGCATAAACCGCTCTGGCTTTTACTATACGTGAATTGATCTCATTAGTCATACCACCACCAGCACTTACGCACTTATGTATGAAGGTGCACATCAAGAAAATATCATCTACATACTCTATGTCGAGATTTCAGCCACTATATCTTGGTTGGTTCATCCTAATTAACAAACTCCACCACCACAGAATTGCAGTAGATGCAGAATTAATTTCTCAGATTTGTTAAGTTGTTTTAACGTGGCTAGTTTATTATTGAATGTATTGTATCATAATATCTACACACATAAATTTTCGTGCACAGTGGTAACAGTAATAGATAGTATTTTTCATTCTAGTTGCCTTCAGAAGTTTGTTCAATGAAACAATCTTTCACTGTGTATATTTCTATCAATTATTATTATTATTATTTTTAGATTCGTGTAGAGAATAGTATTCTACGTCAACGAGTGCATGAATTACAACAAGAAAATCAATTACTATCAGCTTCTTTACAATTAGGCGCTGTAGCTGCTGCTGCTCATCTTAAAAATAGACAACCTCGACCTGGTTCATCATTATCATCGGTCAATATGAATACGACTAATGAAGGAAACACTATTACTACTACTAATAATAATGGAACAGTATCAGGAGGTGGGGTTGTATCAACATTAGCTAATAGTGAAAATTGTACAATATTAAAAGATCCTATAGAATTTACAGATTATCAATCTCCACTTACTGTATTCACATTAGATACTCCGAATAATAATAATAATAATCATAATAATAGTAACAATCATAGTGTAAATTTCAATCAAACTAATTCTAATTGTATAACTCCTACAAGTTCACTTAATAATAATCCATGTTTTACAACATCATTAGCATCGATCAATTCTATTGGTGGATTTAATGTTTCTCAAACAATATCACCGACGAATACATCGTCAACTTCAGAAATAATGAATCAAGTATTATGTCCTTTAACTTTACCAAGTTTAGACCATATCACTATGCAGCATACAGATACTACTACCATTAATACTACTACTAATAATAATCGAGTATCCTGAGATTCGTATACATACACATACTCATGTCCTCTTCCTTCCTAGTCTCTGTTTTCGGTATAAAATCTACATAGTGGACTAACTATATATACATATAAATTGGTTCCCTTTTTGAAAAAATTAGCTTGTTATTCTTTTCAGAATTCACCTTCGGACAATTATCTTCATTCATTTAATGAACAGAGAAAGAAAGAAAGAAACTAAATTGTTTAGCACAATTTCTTTCAGAATGTCAACATAAAACTTATTACATTCCTTTTCTTCTACAAATATAGTTGATTTATCTTGTTGATAAGATGAAAATGGTAGTACATATTTTGTTGTTGTTATTGTTGTTGTAGTTGTAGTCGGACAAGGCACTTCTTTCCACTATTCATCCTCATCAACATTTTAATGATAATAAAGATCTAATCATTTCTGTATCTTTACCCTTATGTTTTTTTTGCTCTTCTTCAACACTTCATTGCAACTGGATTTCATATACTTTCTAACTGTACTTATATTATTTATTTGTCTTTCTTGTTGATCTAATCATTATCATTATTATCATCATCATCATCATAATAATAATATGTACCTGATAACTTACACTACCTTCATCATTAAGCCGACAGTAATGACTGCTATTAATACTGCTATAATAATATTTGACTTTTTCAATTCTTATGCCTATTTTCTTGTCAATTCTTGTGAGAAAGAGAACAAGACCCATTTATTTATTCATTCATTCATTCGAATGAAATTTATGACAGATTTGCAAATATTCATTATAATAGGCGTATATATCCTTCATTCTCTGTTTTAGGATTCAGTATATTTTATGATTGATATTTCTCTTTCGTTGATAATATGGTCGTTCATTGTGTCTTGTTCTTTTTGCACAATGCATATACCTATATATATATATATACACTCATGTGTATTGTATAATTCATTCGCCACACCATGTGTGTGTGTGTGTGTGAGTGTGATTAGGGCAAAAATAAAGTTGGGTTTCTTTTTGTTTAACCATTTTTTTTCACCTGGTGATTTCTCATTTTCTTTTTTTGTGCGTACAAAGTGTTTTGACTGCTACTACTATTACTACTATGATCATTATTCTCACTGACGGTTATTCTTTCGTTTTATGTTTAGAAAAATATATTTCTCGTATATTCTTTTTATTCTCATCATTGTATTTATCTGTGATAGTGATGCTTTAATTAAAGTAAAAATTGTTGAAAACTAGACGGCGGTAAATCACTCTCATGACTGTCGTCATTATAACCATTCAGTTAAAAAAAAATACAACCTGGTTTATGTAACTTTTCTAATGTTTAACACAACCTACATCCATATTCACATATGAAGTGGAAATTCATCTATAAGTACATATCTATGTTGTGTTATATGATCGTTATCACTACTACTACTACTACTACTATCATCACCACTATGTATTGTTTACTTCCATCTGCTCACAACAGTTTTCATCTAATACTACTACTAATAATTCTTTCTTATCACCCATCTATTCATATATTGCGCCTGTTTCTTTGTCCTATCTCTTTTTGCCTGTTTAAAGTTTATCATTTGTAATTTATTATTATGTAGTTTTCTTTTCTATGTCTTTCACAATGACACACATCCTACTAAAACAAACTGGTGTCTATTCATCTTTTAACTATTGCAAAGTTGTATCACATTTTGTTCTGTTCTGCCCATTAGGTAATTTCATCACTTTTAACATGATTGTATTTTTTTTTTGTTGTTGCACAGATTAGGGTTCTTTATCCACTCATCGCCCCCAACCAACAAATTTTGTGTTACTTCTGATTGTATGTTAAAATGCTGTGTTTTCATTGCCCAGTATCTATGATAATACTATCTGTCGTGCTTTCTGAGTCAAAAGCAATTTTTAGTTGCTATGCGAAATGACGATTTTCTTTTGTCTCTATGTTTCTTCTCAATTTGCTTGTTTCTTGATGTAAATGAGATATTAGCGTTATTAGTGGAGGAACGTTTGTTTTTTATTTAAGAAAAAACAAACAAACATTAAAGAAGGATTGCATATACATATATATAATAATAATAATTGAGAATTAGGTGTCAATCCACAATTCAACTGGTACTCAAATGAAAAAAAAAGACTCCTAATTATTGTCATTTTTCATTTGAGATTGTATTCATACAGCTGGGTTAGTGTAATTTTTTTAAAATTTTGATTGGATATTCAATGTTTTGTTGTATTTCTTCCTTAATGCTTTATTCTTTCACAGAGATGATCATTTTTGTTTCATGTTCATTAGTTTTTGAGGTTGATTTAATTGAATGTAGTTTGGTTGTTGATTTGTTTCTTCTTTCTTTCTTATTATTTTTCAAGTGGGAAAAAAACCCCTAGAGAAAACTGATTTTTAGCTCATCTCACAATCGAATGAAACGTGAAGATGAATGTTCATTCAAGTTTTGTTCTTTTAATCGTTTATTCGTAATAGTACAGCACAATATGTCTATACATATGTGTGTGTGTATGTGTGTGCGTGCGTGCGCCAAGTGACTAGTTAGTTAAAAAGCTACCTAATTGTTTCATGTTTGTTTTTTTTTGTAATTTTTCGCTCTCTTGGATACAATATGTAATTGTTGTTCGATTGTTTTTTTTGCTGATATCTCTTTCTTATATAGAAAAGAATATGAGTAATAATTCAATGCCATTGTGAATTGTTTTTAGATTTCATACATGAATTCTCATCAGCAGGGGGGGGGTATCTTCTCTATGTCTCTCTCATATCTTCAATTGATTTACAATATGTTTGTGAGAAAAAAAATGATTATCATTAATACACTTTTAGTGTTTAGCATAAGATCAAATGCTTCTGTTATAAACAGATTTTTTTTCTCTTTTTAAAACTTAGATGTAGGAGATAATATGAGTAACTATGTATACTGGTTTCTCGGTTTAAACAATAGCAACAAGAAAAACATGTTTTCATTGATTATATCATTATGGATTGAGCACGTATGAAATGTTTTTTCTCTTCAAGATTACAGTTCTTGTTTTTTTTTTTAAAAAAAGAAGAATTTTCAGTTCAGTTTTTATATGAAATTAAAGTGAACATCAGTTAGATAAACCGCTAATATCATATTTTAATAATGATCGAGATTATATAATCTTTGGAACGTATCATTAGGATTTAGTTCTTCCGTAATCTGAATGAGATTCTATATTGTTCTGTCATTTATCACTTCAGTGATTATGTGCTTACAGTTAAAAAGTAACTCAGATTCTATTCAAAAAACGTTAAGTTCCTTGTTTCGAGATGGTCACAAAGGAAGATAAAACAAACACTGCTTAGATTAATGTTCCCCTCACATATCATAAACAGATAGATGGTGGCAAGTAGTAGGTCCCAGGACGCGCGTTTTGTCCTACCCGAGACTCGTCAGCTCAGTGGCTGTTACATATACCTTCCCGAGTTGACGTTCACTCTGGGACTCGAAAAAACTGATCAATCACAGACTTAAACATCAATGGAAAGCTTCAAACAATCAATAAAATCCAGTCGTATATTCTTCAAAAACACGATTGTTAGCATAATTTAGGTGTATCGAGGTTAAAAAAAGTACAAAGCACGAAAAATGTCGTATGAAATGAAGCCACTATCCCAATAACATGCTTAAGCAAAGAAAGTTTTGATATCTCTAGTTCCCGTGATATTATTTTTGTGGGTAGTTATCCTAACACTTCAACTAATACATTATTTTAGTATCATCTCAAAACATAATATTCCAAGGCAAAGCTAAATAACGGAAGGTCAACTAAAATGAGTTGATATGAAACTGTTAATTTTGTTTTATTATATTATGGGAAACAACGAATCATAAATTTGAGATTCTTCACAAACTATATGATAACACACTTAAAATATATTCTTGTAAAAACTTTCAATTTGTAAATAGTTGTATACTCCGCAGCAAGCAGTTCCTTCTATTCTATTCTGTGGGTGTACTACGTGACCTTTAAAAGTGGGATATTCATAGTTTACCATTGTTTGATCACATAACATTGTTGGCATATCGTGAAACTTCCGGGTAAGTAACTGTGATGTAAAGTATAAAATACTAGGTACATGCTAAATCGGTTGGTGAGGATTTAAATTATCGACCACGGTGGTCGAAATGTGTATTACGCTTTGGTGCGCTTGTTAGCTAAAAGGAAGGTAGGGCTGGCCAAACCGTTACACTAGTGGATAAAATCACTGGGTTTCGATCTGAGGGGTGTTCATAGATAAAGACTAATTCGTTGCACTACGAGAGGTTATCGTGACCATTCATAAGAAATGTGACGGGTGTTGTCCGAAATATGATACAGGATGTATCGTGCACTATCCCCTGTGGTGTCAATTATTATGCCAAGCCCATATACCTTATTCGAGCTTTCGGACATCCCATTCTATTCATTTTACTTGAGCCATACATTGACCTTGTTATTTATTCGCTTATCAATCTAGACTGTTTTTATATGAGCGTATATGTGTGTGCCCTTCTTATTCCATTAATCACATGTCTGTAGCTTTATTTTGTCTGACTATAAATATTGAGTAACGCTTGACTAAAGTGGAGTTGGCTTCCCAGCCATCTTCCATACGTGTCATTTTTGCTTTGCTGTGCTTCATTCGCTTCATGTACGAAATATATGTATTCTCAAGTCAATTCTCGTTATTCGACTTATTTAATTCCGTTATTGGATAACGCGATTTAAGTCGACGATGATATACGAGAAAAGGCCATAACAGACATTCATACAATCATTCATACGCTCTAAATGGAGTCAGATTAACGGGTCTCTTCACCCCCCCCCCCAACTGACTACTTGAGCAAGAAAGTGTATTGGGCTACTGAATAAAATGCTTAAATACTCGTTCGTATATATAACACTAATCCTTGGGAAATTTATCCACCTTTTAGACAATGAAAGGCACGTTCTTTTAGATCATTTCTGATTGCCGTCGATTGAGCTCATTGGT